AGTGCCACCAGCAGTGTCATCACCGTCAGCATCGTCCTCTTTGAAATGAGCTCTAGGAGCTATTGCCTCTTCGCTTTCCTCAATTGCTCTTTCCGGAGAAAACCTTGGAATAATGATGGCCACCTTATTCCGTTCTCACTCGCAGCAGTCAAGGACAATTACCCATGAATGAAGAATTAGTCAGCACTATTTCAAAAAGGTTGTTCAGTCACTGTTAAACTCTTCAGTGAATGGGCAGACTTGAGTTATAGCATATTGAAAAGTCAGCAGACAGCGACCTAAAATAGTGCCAGGTACGTTCGCAGTAATAGTTCCTTGTCCTTGACTAACATGTTTGACAATAGGACAGGGATGTGACCGCAAGCGAATCTGAATCAAATATCTGTGCGTGTGTGTGTGTGTATGTGTGTGTGTGTGTGTGTGTGTATTTTTTTTTTTCCTTTAAGCCCCTTTGGAATAGAGCTATCGTATAACATGATGAAGCAATAACCTCTACAGTTTAGGTCAGAGAGTATGATAATACGAGTCCGATAGCGAACATCCCCACCCTTATTTGAAATAAATATTCATTTCATCTCTGCCTTGCTTGGTCTCCACACAGCTCCCTCTGGTTCAGTGGTGTGTAAACAAGTGCTACATGTGGTGATATTGGCAGAGGTCTCTCTGGGTTGTGGTGTGTAACTGAGATAGAAATATATCATTACTGGGTGGGGACTGAGGGGATCTGAGGGACAAAGAGACTGAGAAATAAGAATATTGGATTCCGTTCCACACACACAAGCTTATGTCCTTACATGCAGGCTGTCTGCTCCATCTGTCTGTTTTGCTCACACACAAACATATACACAGATACACACATGCACACACTTAGCATAGGGTGTCTGTTAGCTGCATGCGCATGGGTGATGGACTGCTCCAGTGGCTCTGCCGGTAATATAATCTTCTCTATTCCCCGAGATCCCACACCAATATGTCACAATTGTCATTTATTCCCAGCATGGTTGCCCACAATCAGATGGCTTTTCACATTGAACACACCCTGATCCTGTCAGGATGATGAACACTTCAACTGCGCTTACGTACACCTTCACATGCATATATACATTGTGTATTAACATGTGTTGCCCTTTGTGTTCGTTTTTGCGTCCGTGTTTATTTATTTAGTCAATTTTAAATGTGGAAAAGAAAGTCAGACTGCCGGTGAGTGGCTTGCTGGGTTGATTGTTGTTGTTCCTCATTTAAATGCGACACACACACACACACACACACACACACACACACACACACACACACACACACACACACACACACACACTCTCTCTATCTGTATCATATGTAACAAGTCAGACTGACTATCCAGACAATGTTTCACGCCTTCTTATTTCCACAAAGAAGTGGAACAATTAGTGGCAGAGATGCATTTATGGTGCGACAATGTCGAACTAAGAGTGTGAAACTGTTTGTGTCAATCATAATCTCCTGAGTTCCTGAACTCAACATGAATAATGCCTCACAAAAATCACACTGAGAAGCGTACTGCCACCAAGGGAAAAATATGTTAATGGATTCAGTTTGATTAGATGTGGTGTTAAAAATCAGATTTGGACTATGTCTTCACTCTGTCCAGTGTCAGCGCATGAGATTAACATTAACATTTTTTTTTTTTTTTTACTCTATAGGATGTTCTGGGGAAGTCTGAATAAATATGATGACATAGATTCAATATCATCTCCCAGCTACCGTTAATTAAATAAAAAGATAACCATGATATCTGCTTAAAACTGTGTGGAAAACCACCACCGATTTGGTGCTTATCTGCTTGCTTATCTGGACCCTGGGAAAACCCTAATGTGAGATAGCAGGCTGAGCTGTCTGGGCTTAAGATCGCATAGAGAGGAGAGTAATGGCAGACGCCAAGAGAGCTTTTCAGTGAATTCAGTGAGGCGTGAAACATCAGCTCCGATTGACATTCTTGACGAGTCCAATAGCAGATCTGACAAGAATCTTCTAATCTGACATTTGTATAAAGTCTCCAGGTTTGGCTTTCTGTTCTGGGACAATGTTACCAAGATTTTCTTTTAAAAAGAGGAAAATGGCTAAATAATACTGATACTTTTCCTTTCTTTGAATAGATCATTGTATAAAAAACTCGCCGCCTATATTGTTAGTTTCAACAATGTCAAGTGTTGTAAGACATATGCAGTACAGAATACAGTTTCACAGAAGGGCAAGCCTGAACACACAATTCCTGTCGCTTCCGGGTTAAGAACTACAACCTTGTCACGGTGAATAATATACTGATAGAAAATTGTACAAGGCCCAAATTAAAGATAGTCGCGTGCCAAGTTGAGGAGAGAATTATAGCATCTGACCTTAATGAGAAAGCGTATCCTCTTGAGACTACCTCCACTTCAAGCCACCAAGGATATCTCTGACTACCTGTTCGCACTCTGTGGTAAATTAAAAGAACATAATGTCCTGGCTAAGCTTCCATTTTGCCTTACAGGAAGCTCTTCTCGCAGTCGCGGGCCACTGGGAGACGCAGTAATCACCCGTAGAAACACAGTAAGCCTGTAAGGAAAAATACCCTGCTAATTAGTGTATATTCTGTTTCTATGCGCTTCATGTTCTTCAGAAGGGAAACAGGAGGAAATATTAACTGGAGTGACAAACTACTATAATACAAAAATGTGGTGATTAGTTGTACAAAAACAATATGTGACTTGGAGATGCTAACAAACCTAGCATTTAATAAGTGAGAGAGTCAAAGGATTATTGTTTACAGGAAATCCAAATGAGATCATGGATATAGAGATTGACACGAGTAACGAGTTGTGTTTCGTTTTAATGAACGCAAGCAGAAAAAGGTGAGGTTTTGTCGGGGTTAATGAACATAAGGATAGGAAGACTCCTTGCAGTTAACATGCTGGTTCAGTGCTGATTGGTGAAAATAACCCCCCCCCCCAGCTACCAGGTGATAGATAAGGTAGTTGCATTGTAGTTGAAACAGTATAACAACAGTCATTTAAAATACTGTGCATAAAAATTTTGTAAAAATACATCGTACATGAATGTAAGAATAAATAGTGACTGTTGTCAGTGTTCGGAGAAGCCAAAAAAAAAAAAAAGAAAAACTGACAGCAGAATGAAAAGCATTAATATGCAAAGATATAAAACGAAAATCACGCATGCTTTGGCAAAAATTATTTTTGTGCTTTATTAATGTTTTGTATAAGCAGGGAAATGAAGTCTGTGAAGTGTCTGTGTTTTGTGCTTCTCAAACGCTCCTCTTTACTACATTTAATTGGGCATTTAGGATGTGCAACACCTGGCTGCTTGTTATTCTCATTACTGAGTTTCAGTGATCTGTTGGGTTATACAAAGATTTTGAGATTTTGACAGTTTCTTTCCAATCATTTGCATTGTTTTTTTTCTTTGGCAGTTAAAAAAAAAAGAAAAAAAAAGTAAACCTGTGATTTTCAGACACTTGCAGTCATTTAAATTAGAAAAGGGTGATTTGCATTTTGTTATTTGACTTTAATCTGCTTTGTGAAACAACACAGAAACCTTGGTAAAAGTTCTGCAACTGTGCTAAAGATCTGTGACAGTCCTATCCCACTGGGTTCTGCATTTCATTTGATACAGAACCGCATCTGTTTCTCTCTTCCTCAAAAAAACATAATTTCATCATTTCGTGTCCCTAGCTCTCTTTTGTTCAATATTCTCTCACATCCTTTCTGTCTGTCGCTCTCTCTCTTCCTCTCCTTTTCAAACAATTACAAAGTGGATGGCTCATCAAGTAGAGCAGAGCAGGAGCAGGGTGGAAATGAGGTGTGGAGTCCAGTCAGTGTGATTTAGAACGGCCCTCTGATAACAAGGGAGGTTAATGTATCGGTCTCAGGCCAGAGGACACATGCCGAATCTGCTCTATTAGAAACAACTTGTTCGGAACAGGTTCACGCCACTTTTATGACAAAGGACTTGCTGAGCATATTGAAAGTATTTCAAAAAAACTAATTTGTATTTTCTGGCATATTTGTGCTTGATTACAAAGCATGGGGAGGTGGTTAGAGCCACCCTGAAATGAGATATCCAATATGATTTGGCAATTGGACAATAATTTGGAGATGGAGATGGGCCTAATTTAGTTGTTTGTTACAAATGGAAAATAGCTTGATATTAGAGATATCATTAAATCAGTAGATGTACTGTAACAACATGAATGATATGGTTTAGCTTAAAGCTTAAAACTATAACTAAATAGCTTCACTGCGAAAATGCAAACAATAAGAAATGTTTAGTCCAATTCACGAGGATGCTTTTTGATTTAGTTTCTAAAAATAGATTCATTGTGTCTTCAAATATAAAATGCAAGGGATGAAAACTGCACAACTTGACAATGTCAAAAAGAAACCCAACAATCAGCCCATTTCCCGAGAGGAAAAGCAAGAACTCTCACTCCTGGTTATGGGAAAAAATAATTGCGCTTGTTATCATAATTTCCTCTACAAAAGTTTCACCTTTAGGGATGGGAGTCGATAAGATTTTATTGAAACCAGTGCAATTATAGATTCTGCTTATCAATCCGATTCTTTATCGATTCTATCGGTTCCCTTATCAATTCCTGTGGATTTTCTGTGTGGAAAAAAGTAGGCCTATACAGGCTTTCAGTGTCAACAATAACACTGAACAAGATAGATAACTGCTCTGTTGTTGTTCAATCCATCAAGGGGGGAGGGGGCGGG